ATCTAGACATTTGCATATGCATGTATCGTTCCCCAATACACCTATGCAGCTGCCGTCATCCTTCTCGGGCTGCAAGCATGTGACTTTAAGGCAGTAAGGCGCTGACTGAAGTTTGCTTCAAGATTCTAGTGACTGGATCAGAAATGTCGCGAGGCATCTGTATGAGGAACACCATCATCAACTACCCAGCTCAGCCACTTCATGAATACTTAGCTCAGTGCTTGTCGCGGAACACCATCACCAACACTAGATCTAGGTTTGTGAACATCACTTCCTTGACGGAACGTTACCGGAAGACCATTGTCCAAGCGACAATGCGCATCCTCACGGACTTCAATACAGTGAGGCAGCAATTGCGGACGATGCTCAAAATAGTATAGTTCACTTTCGATGCAGCTAGTTTGCTTTGATGACGGTGTCAAAATATTCCTGTCTTTACCATGTCTCGTTGTCGCGCGTAATCACGTAGTTTAATGCTGAAAAATGATGTTCTACTGTGACTTCACTGAAGCAATAAACTTTCAAATTTTTGTAAGCGAAGGTGGTCAAGCGTTACGAAACGCTCTAGCGAAGAGGTTCAACAACTACTTGGAAGCGGAATAAATATGATCAAGTTGGAACGAATCAAAAACAATCTTGTTATTCACGAAGGACGAGAAAGAGGATCTGAAGAACTGTGATAATCTGCCTGCAGTCACAAGTCTATCTGTTGTCAAGCAGATTGTCAACAAATCTGGACAAGTAGCGACCAAAAGAACAGTCAGGATTCTGAGGAGCTACTGCACCGTACCATAAATTAGTTCCATGAGGACGTGAGAGACTACCAGCTCATTCTGTGCACTGCCATCGCCGACTACTGGGAGGAGTTTGATACTGCGCTGTACAACGCAATGTGGACTGCAGAGGCAGAACAAGGCGCTGGCCCCCGTTATATTAACCTCTTATAGAAGGAGAACTCTGAGTGCTTCACAAACATAACGCTGTTCGACACCCCGTCCGGATTTTGGTAGAGAAAGGCGTGAAACACTGTATCAATACCTCCTTCAAACTCTTCACTGTCTGTGTGGAAATGTTGTTGCGGCGGATGAACTGGAGGCGTGGGATAAATGTCAATGGTGAACAGTTTTGCCACTTAAGAATCGCTGATGACGCGGTGTTTTATCGACGAAATCCAGTCAGCTGCAAAGTATCCTGGGGCATGCTCGAGCGACACGATTGAAAAATCTGACTGCGAATTAATCGGCCAAAGACGAAGATATTGCAATCGGATGATTTGTCGAAGGCCCAGGTAATATTAAAAGACGAAAGATCGAAGAAATCGATAACCACATTTACCAGAAATGCGAAGATACGGGTAGTCTGGGCACAGAGCCCGGTTTGCAGGCCTGAGGTGATCGACATTCTTTGCCGATCGGTGCCTTTGCAAGCGGGCTGCGCTGCTTATATGGATAGCTCGGATGACCGAGCTTTGAGGGAGAAGACATGCAGCTGCGTGGGATGGCGGGCGTTTGGCGGCCGACGCGATTCGTTGCCGATTACCGGCTGGTCCAATCGATCCAATAAATTTAAGAGCACTAACTCCTGAAACGTCATTTGTGATTCGAGCGAGGTGGGTCTGTCGGACAAAACGATGGAGATACATCTGGCTCAACAGGTGCCGAAATACCATGGGTCCGTGAACTGGTAAAATGGTGCCCTTAAGCGACTACAAGCAATGGACTGCTGCAATTCGCCGCGACATATGATCGTAGAGGAGTTTTGCCATTTAACGTTCTCGGGTTTGGAAAAATATTTGACGATGACACGGTAGGCTCTAATTTGATTATTTAAGTCAGGCATACTTTTAGTTGATTCAGGCATCAACAGATTAAGTAGTATAGCTCTCAAACGGTTCTTGCGATAATAGGCACATGATGGATATTGTATCTGCATTTTAATTCATTTGAATCGAAGACTGAAACGTTTCTATCAAACAAGAATAGGAGAATCGACCAGGACAGAAAATACTCTCTGCGGGTTTCTTCGTTGTGAAAAAAGTTTTCAGATGACAAGTGTAGGGATTCTGCACATAGAGAATAATCACACATTAGTGATGGGCCAATTTCATTTTTTCTGTTCATCAACTATTAAATAACTGCATAAATACAAGAGCCATAACAGCATTTTGTGGAATCAAGAGAACCTGCAGCTGAAAACTGCCTTGAGAAAGCGTAGTAAAAAGCGAACATTAGCACACCTTTTTTCTAATCTCTTTTCAAATATTAAAATCGAAGCATTCAGAGACGAAAGCATGTTGCTGTCTCTTTCTCCATTTACTCACTAATGCTCTGTATGTTTCACCTCTTCTTTAAACTTAGCCATAAAAATGCATCTTTTGCTCAATTTTTAACAGTTTTGTTTATAGGGATTCACTTTTCCAGCATCGCAAGAACTATTGGCAGAGTGGGTTCCCCCGCTTGAGAGGACGAAGCTTCCGACGTTTGTCAGTAGCGGTAATATTTTAGCATATTTATTGCTGACTACGAAATTATCAATTTTCGGCTTCAAGTTCATTTTTGTAGAATATCGACCATATTTATGCTTCAGTAGTACGCGAAGTTCTAGAATAAACATTGATATCCTCAGCAACAGTGGAAATATTGTCTAAGTTCATTTATACTATATTGTCAGTGGGAAATCTTTCAACTCCATGACTGGCGGAAATTCGAACTCCGTGATCCTCTAGTGATCGGTCAAAGTATCGGTCAAAGTTGTGCACAGTCGTTGGCTGTATGTTCAGCTGATGCGACTGTTGCAGTTAAGGTTTTGGCGACAGATACCTCGGAGTTCATCAACTTCTAATCATAATCTCGAATTGTAGATTGAGGTACACACCAGTGGTAACAGACAAGCACGCTATTGGTAGTCTGTACAGGTAAGCAGTAAATCGCTTGTGCAGGGTCATATTCTGTGCATATCACGTCGGTCCGGCATACAGTGCTGTGACGCATTCTTCATTTCGTTGCCGCCATGAACTGTTTCCTTCCTCGACTCTTCCGCAGTCACTCTCTACTGATCGCTGAAGATTACCCTTCGAGATGTAATATTGCGTCAACAACGTCCCGTACCATTTTCTCTAAGAAACGAATGATATTT